CTAGATTTGTCATGGCTTTCCTTCCAAGGAGCAAGCATCTTTTAATTTCATGACTAGTTTATGTATTTACGTTTTGGTTCCTTTTTCCTCAGACTATGCTTGAGTCTTTTAAATCCCAGTGTGACCCGTCTCAGAACAGCAAGAACATAGGTTAAGTGTTTCATTGCCCTTTATTTCTTGCTAGTTGCAACAGTTAAACTGCATCAGGTGTTATCAGCCTGTTTCCTACCCTCTGCCCTAAGGAGGAGGTTGCAGTCAGTAGTAAGGGTCCTGCCCCAAAGTCTGTATTGCTCTCAGACAGGGGTTGGGGGGTGGCTGGGGGGTGGTGGACAACAAAGATGTGTTGCTTGCTGCCTATGACTGGATTCCTATTGGATGTGCTGGGGTACACTCCATCACCTCCAAGGCCCTTGTGGATTCTTCCTGCATTTTTGGAACTGAGGGTCCAGGGTAGCATATAATCTCATGTTTGTATATATATCAGAGACCGAAATGGGATAAGTTTTTTCCAGGCCTGTTTGTAACTTTGCATAGGATAGAAATTGTGTCGAAATTCACTTACCACTTCCCTTTGCCTTGTGTGGGATGCAAAGAGACAAACTTTAATTTACACGTATCCAAAATATCAAGCAGGAAGCCTCCACACAGGACCCAGGGACTTGCAGGGTGCAGCAGGTACCACCACGTCAACGGGTTGTCACTGGCTGTGCCCAGCTGTTCCTGGAGAAGGAAAAGCCACTTTATACATGTGGACTCTGAGGTTCAGCATGTTCTTGCCATGGTTGCCCGGCTAGAAACTGGCAGAAACAGCCATTAGCATGCAGGGCTGTGTGGACCTGAGGCAGCTTCCTTCTCACTGCAGGGGGAGGTGTTCCTTTAGACTAAAGAGTTCCGGCACTCCCCTCCCCGCCCCATCTCTACAGGAGTGTGTAGCGGGGCCTGCCAGCAGCAAGGACTGGTCTTGTGTGTCTCTCCTGGTACAGAGGATGAATGAGGCCGAACCGAGCAAGGCCCACAGGTGTCAGGCATTACTAAAAGCCAGTGTCTGAGGTCACACCTCCATGTGCTCAGTCAGCAATGAGTTTGAGAAATCGTGGTCTGTTGCAGCAGGCAAGGTTGGGTTATGAGGTCCCTTCACTGAGACCTGGGCTATCTTCAAGGATAACCATGCCACTGTCAGCAAAGCTGGGGCCAAAGGCAAATCAGCTCATTTCTATTCTTGGAAAAACAAATCGTCAATTTTAGTATTGTACCTTTCGTAACCATAGGAGGCAGGTGAAAACGTCTTTTTGGAGCACTGGGCAATTTCCAAGATGAGAGACACCAGTCAACATCTCAGGGGGTGGCAGAAGTCAGTGCTCCTCAAGGCCGAGGGGTCTAGAAACTCCATCACGCTTGCTCTCTTAGAGTCATGTAATCCAAGGCTGACCCAGGCTCCACACTGAAATTGTTGTGTGACCACAAGCAAGGTCAGAATCTCTCCATTTCTTCACTTAAAAAATGAGATGGGACAGAGGGATGGTTAGTTTAACTCACTTCTGTTGTTTCTTTCAGATATTACCTCTATAATTTAAAATGCTTATGCTAGGGGGACTTCCCTGGTGGTCCGGTGGCTAAGACTGCATGTTCCCAATGCATGGGGCCTGGGTTCGATCCCTGGTCAGGGAACTAGATCCCATGTGCCACAACTAAGAGTCCACATGCCACAACTAAAAGATTCCATGTGCCACAAGTAAGACCTGGGACAGCCAAAAAAATAAACAAATGTTAAAAATTAAAATGTTTACTTTAAAGCACACCTCAAATATTGAGGTAAAATAACAATAAATTGCATCTTATGATCTTGGTTTTTCTCTGGGTCACTTTCCCTTAAATAGACTGCCTCAGGTATGGAAAAATAACAACCCAGCTGTAGTTTTGAGTATGTCACTTTCCCAGATCACTGGGAGATTGTAATCTGAAAAACTCTTCAACTATATAGCTCCTATTTCTGCTTAAACTTTCTATGCTGTTGTCCATTTGTAATTTAAATTTTGTTACAGAAACAGAAATATATGCAAAAAAATTGTATAATGAACTGCCAAGGACCCATCAACCAGCTTCAACAATTATCCACATTTTGTCAATTTGGTTTCAGCTTCCCCCAAACCCCACCTGCCATCTCCCACTCCTTGTAGTTTTTGGCAGAAGGGAATTCTGGAATATTTTCAAGCAGATCTCAGACTTCATATCTTTTTACTGTTAGAGGATTTACTTTGTGAATCTAACAGAAGGCGCTTCCTGTTTTGTAAACTAGTGACTTTAGTGTTGTTCCTGCATGCAGACCGATTGGAGGTGGCAACACCTGTGGCAGGGATACAGGAGTCTGAATTTTGAGTGAATTTAGAGTGGACTGTGTATTGGGTTAACCTTCCTCCCTCCAGAGAAAGTGGTAGAATTCACTGAAAAGAATCTGGGGGTTTGAATAGCACCACCCCCATAAGACTCTCAGAAAGCAAATATAGGAAAGGCCTTTCCAAGTGATGAACAGAGCTAGTGTTTATGTAGCGCCTACTAGGTACATCTCCATATGCATCATCTGTAACCTATATACCAAGGCTGAGAAGTGAAAACCAAGGTTTTGGGAGGAGCTTCCCAAATATTACCTTCGGATGATCAGTATTAGAAAATCACATTACCCTGTCTCCATGCCAAAACACTTGAGATAACCTGTTTAGCTTCAACATACAAAGTTATTTGGTTTGTGCCTTAATCTAACCTGATGTTTACTGCTGTAGAAACAATAACTAGTTTATTTCTTGAGGTTCCCTTGGAAATAGTTAAGTGAGGATAATAGTGTCGTAGGCAGAGAAAGCATGAAAATGTCTTCCTCTGCCCAGGCCAGGTTAGGAGATGCCACTCAGTCTTCCCTTCTCTCTAGTCCCCTTTCCCCAAATGGGTAAAACCATTCTTAGTGATTATAAATCACTCTTTGGGGTTAGAGGACATTTGTAAGTTTGTGCTTGAAAGATTTGAATTTTTGCTTTGGAAACCTATAACATTTTGTTCAGTGAGGAGTGAACCAAACTTAATCTTTAGGAATGAATTTAATCATGAAAATGCCTTCCTCTGCCCAGAGGAGTTTAGGAGTGAACTTAATCTTTATTTAAGATCCTTAAACATGTTTGCCAGTTGGAAGAGACTCCATGAAGTATTCTGGAAGGGAGAAAAAAATGGAATGGAGTTGACTGAGGAGAGAGGCAGAAAGGAAGGAAGTGAGGAAAAGAATAAAAATCAAAGAACCTTTGTAAGTTCCAGATTGGTTTCATGACCCAGTTTGAGATGAACTCTGGTTACTTACATTGTTTGTATTTAAAATGTCCTACAGACTCCCAAAGGAGTGAGCAGACCCTAAGCACCTGCCTTGGTAATGAAACCATACTAGCAGGTTTACTGTGAAGCTACTGAAGCTTAAACTTCAAGGTTTCTTCCTTGCATTGATCCTTCCCTAAACCTTGGGAGAGGCACTAGAAATGTATTCCTGTGCTCATGTGTTTAAGCATCAAACCAGATCCATCCCTGCCTGTCAGGAATTGAGTTCTCAAGAGAGTAATGTGCCCATAATCATATCTCTATAACCACATCCCAAACTTCCCTAGTGGTGGAACTTCCCTTTCTTCCTTTTTATTTATTTATTTATTTATTTATTTATTTTATCACAACCATAGTGTATCTTTTTTTTTTTTTTACATGTATTCCCCATCCCGGTCCCCCCTCCCACCTCCCTCTCCACCCAATCCCTCTGGGTCTTCCCAGTGCACCAGGCCCGAGCACTTGTCTCATGCACCCAACCTGGGCTGGTGAACTGTTTCACCCTAGATAATATACGTGTTTCAATGCTGTTCTCTTGAAACATCCCACCCTCGCCTTCTCCCAGAGTCCACAAGTCTGTTCTATACATAGGAGTCTCTTTTTCTGTTTTGCACATAGGGTTATCGTTACCATCTTTCTAAATTCCATATATATGTGTTAGTATACTGTAATGGTCTTTATCTTTCTGGCTTACTTCGCTCTGTATAATGGGCTCCAGTTTCATCCATCTCATTAGAACTGATTCAAATGAATTCTTTTTAATGGCTGAGTAATATTCCATGGTGTATATGTACCACAGCTTCCTCATCCATTCATCTGCTGATGGGCATCTAGGTTGCTTCCATGTCCTGGCTATTATAAACAGTGCTGCGATGAACACTGGGGTACACGTGTCTCTTTCAGATCTGGTTTCCTCGGTGTGTATGCCCAGAAGTGGGATTGCTGGGTCATATGGCAGTTCTATTTCCAGCTTTTTAAGAAATCTCCACACTGTTTTCCATAGTGGCTGTACTAATTTGCATTCCCACCAACAGTGTAAGAGGGTTCCCTTTTCTCCACACCCTCTCCAGCATTTATTGCTTGTAGACTTTTGGATAGCAGCCATCCTGACTGGTGTGTAATGGTACCTCATTGTGGTTTTGATTTGCATTTCTCTGATAATGAGTGATGTTGAGCATCTTTTCATGTGTTTGTTAGCCATCTGTATGTCTTCCTTGGAGAAATGTCTGTTTAGTTCTTTGGCCCATTTTTTTATTGGGTCATTTATTTTTCTGGAGTTGAGCTGGAGGAGTTGCTTGTATATTTTTGAGATTAATCCTTTGTCTGTTGCTTCGTTTGCTATTATTTTCTCCCAATCTGAGGGCTGTCTTTTCACCTTGCTTATAGTTTCCTTTGTTGTGCAAAAGCTTTTAAGTTTCATTAGGTCCCATTTGTTTATTTTTGCTTTTATTTCTAAAATTCTGGGATGTGGGTCATAGAGGATCCTGCTGTGATTTATGTCGGAGAGTGTTTTGCCTATGTTCTCCTCTAGGAGTTTTATAGTTTCTGGTCTTACATTTAGATCTTTAATCCATCTTGAGCCCTTTCTTCCTTTAAATTCTCTTTATAATTTGCAGGAATTTAACCTAATCTGTATTTCATTTGTACAGATGAAACTATGCAGCAGGAAATCAGGCCCTTGGTGGCAGTGGATATAATTGAACAACTTCACAGACAATTTGCCATTCTTTCAGGTAAGATGCAAATTCATTTCCATTTCTAGATTTCCTGGGGCGGGGGGGGGGAGGTTGGGGGGGGCTGGTCTCACTGGGAGGGCCCAGCCTCTTGAACTTGATTAGCATTATATTCAAGTCTCAGTCATCCCCGGGCTTCCCTGGTGGCACAGAGGGTAAAGTGTCTGCCTGCAATGCAGGAGACCTGGATTCGATCTCCAGATGGGGAAGATCCCCTGGAGAAGGAAATGGCAACCTACTCCAGTCCTCTTGCCTGGAAAATTCCATGGACCGGGGAGCCTGCTAGGCTGTACAGTCCATGGGATTGCAAAGAGTTGGACTGCAAAGAGTCACACACGACTGAGCCACTTCACTTCTCAGTCATCCCCGAAGCCTCACCGGGGAATGAGCTGAGGACTGTCCAGGAGGAGGGTGGGATCTCAGAGATGTTACTCCTTTTGCTGTTGGATGAGATTTGATCTTTCCCAAGGAATACATTTCTCTGAGGTTGTAGACAACAGAGCTGAAAAGATTTTGAGGAAAGAAAAAGAAATAAGTACTGACATTAGCTGCCACCATGATGTTCTTCCAATATTCTCATTGAATGTTCTACCAAGATCCAACCTTAAGACAGTCTTGGTTTTAAGAGCTCATGAATGTTGCTGAGGTAATTTGTTCTCTGAGAGATTTGTCTTTTCTTATCTCTAATGGATATAATTTAAATACATCAATTTTCATTAAGCATTTGGTTAGGAATAAAGAAAGGCTAACATTAATCAATGGCTAGAAATTTCAAGAGAAGCCACTGCAATGAGAAGCCCGTTTATTGCAATGAAGAGTAGCCCCCACTCACCTCAAATAGTGAAAGTCTGTATACAGCATCAAAGACCCAAAACAACCAAAAATTAGAGAAAGAAATTTTTTAAAAATGCTAGAAATTTTCTGAGCATAGGTATAGCCCTGAAAATTTGCCATTACTAGAATATTATTCTTTTTTATTCTCTTAGTCCAGGGTGACATGACACTACTGAAATTGGAGGTACAGACCAAATCCTGAATTATAGTTTAACCTTTCTTAGAAGCATGGGTTAATGAGATTAGATGTCCTCAGCACATATCACAGAGAAATAAGGTGGCAAGTCACTCTCCCTTTATATCTGTTCTGGAAAAAAAAAAAAAAAGCAACAAAGTCATCTTAGTTATATCACAGAGAGAATGTAGTTGGCATGAATTTTATTCTACAAAATACGATGCAAAAGCCATCACATTTTTTACCTTTCTCTAAATCTTTTTTAGTTTACCCCAAACTCCACATGGGCTTCCCAAGTGGCTCAGTGGTAAATAATCTGCCTGCCAATGCAGTCTGGGTTCGATCCCTGGGTTGGGAAGATCCCCTGGAGAAGGAAATGGCAACCCACTCCAGTATTCTTGCCTGGAAAATCCCATGGACAGAGGAGCCTGGCAGGCTACCATCCATAGGGTTGCAAAGAATCAGACACGGTTTAGTGGCTAAACAACAACAAACTCCTATTCTCTACTACTGGATTTGAGAGAAATTCAATTTTCAATATTAAGATATCACTCTGCATTTCACAGTTGGTATCCTACTTACAGTCTCAGTCATCCCCGGGCATCTTACACAATGCAGAACATTCTAGGGAATTCTCTGCTCTTCCCTCCACATTGGTCATTGTTTAGATAGTCACTAAAAATTCCATAAATACAGGGTTCTCATTTTTAAATGAGGTGATGTGAAGAGGTGACTCATTGGAAAAGACCCTGATGCTGGGGAAGATTGAGGACCAGAGGAAAAAGGGGCAACAGAGGATGAGATGGTTGGATGGCATCACCGACTCAGTGGACATGAATTTGAGCAAGCTCCAGGAGATGGTGTGGGAGAGGGAAGCCTGGGGTTGCAAAGAGTTGGACATGACTGAGCAACCAAACAACCACATTTAAAAAATTTTTTCCTCTATTGCTAAGGCTTAGAACGGAGGCTGGAACATAGTATCTGCTGAGGTGAAATGATCTAAGTCCTCCTGGTCTGTCCTGTGAGGTTGGTGGACTCCCTGCTCTACATATCCCCAGTCTAGGCACCACTGTCTTGACCCTGGTAGCAGTGCCTGGCCAGCTTCCTGCAGGTGCCGTGTCATAGCTTCCTGCAGTGAGCCTGGGATGGTGACAACAGAAGGCAGCATAGGGACTGTCTCTGGATTTCTGGCAACTGCTGCTACGGCCCCGTGCCACAGAAGGCCCAAGGCCAACATGCATCAGGGTCTGGAATGGACGATGGGGTGGGCTGGGTAGATTCCTATGGCCTTACACCAAAACTGTGATGCCTCAACTCAGTTCATAATTCTAGCATATAAAATTATACAATGATTCATCTGGGAAAGGAATCCAGTGGCTGATTGATACACTTAAATATCCAAAGTTATTGCTTTCAAGTAACATTGAGGCATTTTTTTCTATGCTTATTTCTTAGAGGCAGTTTAGGGAAAGTTGTAAACTGGTACCAGACAGCCCTAGATATGGTTAGATTCTGCTACTGACTGGCTGTATCATGTTGGGTAATTTACTTGTCTAAGCTTCACTTTTCTCACTTTGTGTAATGAATAGGATCATCATAATTTTGAGGACTAAAGCATAATATATGAAAAATGCTTAATATTGCAACTGCCAATTAAATATTTGGCTCTTTTTTCCTGAGATATTCTAATCCCTCAAAAGTGTTTATTTTTATATTACCAAACATGTTTTCAGTATGACAGTGTTTTTATAAGGGACCAAAACCATACAGTGATAGAGTATATAATACCACAGTTAAGTAGAAGTAGAGATAACTTTCACTCTTTAATGTAGAACATAGAACTGAAAGAAAACTCACACTGGCCCAAGAGGATACCTCTGCTTTAGGAAAGGCACTTTGACTGGACAAAGGCAATCCTTTCATTTCTGAGCTTGTCAGCTTGTTGCCTCAAGGTTGCCCTTCCTTTGAGAGAGAAGCATGGATTAGCTGTGATAGAATTTGCCACACTACAAATCAATAAAAATATCAGCAACCATGGGGTTCTCTGAGTCAGCAGGTTTTTTTGGAATTAGCAGGCCTGCTTTTCATCTTTAATTTCCCTCTTTACCTGAGAGAGGCAGCAAATGTCAGCAACGGGGCTGTTGTGGGTGCCTGGGTAGTTGTGGTTGTAAAACAGGAATCTCCTCAGTTAGGTTTTTTTCCATGGCAGCCCAGCCCTGGCCTCTGCTCTGAGTCACAGCTCTTTTCCTGATTCAGACAAGCAGGGTGAAGATGTTCCAGCTGCTGACTTACCTATAGATTCCACTGAGATCTAGAGACAGCCAGAACCCCCATCAACCAGGGATACTGTGAAAGAGAGGATGGAGCCTTTTTCTCAGTGAGGCCACAGGTGCCTGGCCTGCTGTGCTGTGTGAGTGTGCTCCTCTGGCTGGTTGAAGAGCAGGGCTCATTGCATGATGCCTCATCCAGATTTGTGGCCAGATGGTTTGAAGCGTCTGGATGGTGATACCAGCAGGGCCATCAGCAGGAATTGGATAGTGGACCGGGCTAGGGTATCTGGTGGCTTTGACCATGGAAGACAACTTGCAGGTTCCCCAATGAACTTGGGATATTCTAAGTTCAGGCACTTAGCTAGGAATCAAGAAAATATAAACAAGTTAGTGTGATGAAGACACTAGCCTTTGAACTCAGACAATCTAGGTTCATATTCCAACAGAATTAGTAGGTTGCTCTGAGCAGGGTTTCTCATCTGTAAAGTGGGTTGTTTTAAGGATAGTGCTTAGCGTAGTGTTTGGCTACAAGAAAACATAGACTATAGGATATGTTTGTTTTTAAACTATTGAGTTGGCCAGATGGAAAAATCCAAATGAACTTTTTGGCCAACTCAATGCTTACTAGGAGGTCTGGAGGTAAGTCTTGACCCTAAGATGGCCACTGCAGCTCCAGACATCAAGTCTGTATCCAAAGCAGGAAGAAGGAAAAGAGGCAATTCTGGCTTCTGTTCCTTTTGCCAAGAGAGCAATAACTTTCCTAGAGCTCTTGGTAGCCTTCTGCTTTTGTTTCATTCCAGAACAATGTCATGTAGCCATTTACAATAAGAATTTTAATCCCTTTAAAAACAATAGTGGGAAGCTTCTGGTTCAAGAGTAGAAGGATGTGCACTCATCTCTTCCTGGGAGAGCACCAAAATTGCAATTAGCTATTGAACAACCATCAACAGGAGTACGGTGTAACCAAAAAAAAAAAAAAAAAGATGTTCCACATCTAAAGACAAAGAAGAAGCTGCACCGAGATGGTAGGAGGGTTGCAGTCATGGTAAAATCCAATCCCATACCCACCAGGTGAGTGACCCACAATCAGGAGAACAATAATACCAGAGAAATTCTCCCACTGTTGTGAAAGTCCTGAGCCTCATGTCAGGCTTCCCAGTCTGTAGATCCAGCAAAGGTACTGGGAATCCCCACGGAATATGACTTTGAAGGCCAGTGGGATTTAATTATAGAACTTCCATAGGACTAGGGGGAACAGAGTCCAATCTTGGAGGGCACAAACAAAATCTTCCCACCAAGACTCAGGGGAAAGGATCAGTGATCATACAGCAGGCTGAACCAAAACTATCTGCTAGTGTTGGAGGGTCTCCTGTGGACATGTGGGTTGGCGGTGGCTTGTTGTGTGGATGGGCATTGGCAGCAGCAGTCCTGGAAGGGGCCTCTTGGCATAAGACCTCTTGGAGATCGCCATTAAGCCCATAGACCACAGGACTGGGTCGCCTCAAGCAGAACAACTAATAGAGAGGGAGCACAATCCCAGCCATCAGCAGATCATTGGATTAAGGTTTTACTGAGCACGGCTTTGCCCACCAGAGTAAGACCCAGTTTTTCTTACCACCAGTCCTTCCCATCAGGAAGCTTAGACAAGCCTCTTAGCCTCATCCACCAGAGGCAGACAGAAGAAGCAAAAACAACCACAGTCCCGCAGCATGCGTGAGTGC